GGTTTGGGGGGGAATCAGGCGTGGGTCCTGGCAGCCCATGGCGCTAGTCAGGCGTGGGTCCGGGCTGCCTGCGGGGGCTGCAGCAGTCTGGCCTGACTCCCGCTGAGGCCCATGGGGTGCCTCCTCGCATGTGATTTCAATTGAGCGCTGGGCCTCTAGTATGGAATAAAAAAAGATCCCAATAGCTGCATTAATCCTGAGAAAGAAGAACAAAGTTGGATGGATCACAGTACCAGATATAAAGCTATAATACAAAGCCATAGTGCTCAAAACTATCTGGTACCAGCACAAGAACAGACATATAGACCAATAAAACAGAGCAGAGAACCAAGAGTTCAACCCAAGACATTATGCTGAATTAATATTTGACAAAGGAGGCAAGAGCATACAATGTTTCCTGATGTAAGGGCCCCGAAAGCATCAATGAGGCCATTGTTCTGGGCTTCATCTGAGGCAAGGAAATGTATTCCTCCTAAAATATAAATATATTTATTAGGTTGCTTTCTAGAAAATAAGTACTTATCACAATTTAGTGATTTTTAAGGTAACAGTAAAACTGTTATGCGCGCAGGTGAGGTCTGGAGTGGAGACAATCGCATGTGATTTCAATTGAGCGCTGGGCCTCTAGTATGGAATAAAAAAAGATCCCAATAGCTGCATTAATCCTGAGAAAGAAGAACAAAGTTGGATGGATCACAGTACCAGATATAAAGCTATAATACAAAGCCATAGTGCTCAAAACTATCTGGTACCAGCACAAGAACAGACATATAGACCAATAAAACAGAGCAGAGAACCAAGAGTTCAACCCAAGACATTATGCTGAATTAATATTTGACAAAGGAGGCAAGAGCATACAATGGAGTCAAGACAGTCTCTTTAATAAATGGTGTTGGGAAAATTGGACAGATAAATGCAAAAAAATGAAACTAAACCATCAACTTACACCATAATGGATAAAGAACTTAAACATAAGACAGGGAACCATAAAAATCTTAGAAGAATCTATAGGCAGCAAAATAGCAGACATTTGCTGTAGCAATATCTTGACCAATAACTGCTCCTAGGGCAATGGAAACTAAGGAGAAAATAAACAAATGGGACTACATCAAAATAAAAAGCTTCTGCACAGCAAAAGAAACCATCAACAAGAGAGCCCACTGCATGGGAGAATATATTTGCCAATGTTATCTCCAATAAGGGTTTAATCTCCAACATTTACAGGGAACTCATACAACTTAATAAAAGGAAGATAAATAATCCAATCAAAAAATGGG